TGGTCGCATTGTCCTGCTCCCAGCGCGCAGACAGAACCGCCCGAGGAAGCGCTGGGCGGCCGGGCTGAGTCCCGGTTGGTTGCCACATCTGCGTGGGCCTCAGTTTCCTCCACCGAACGATAGGAAGAGCCGACATGCACCACGGCTCGGCCTTTGGAAGTCCTGGGTGGGGTGGAAGGGGCGGGTGTGGAAAGGTCAGAGCTGGGAGCCCAGACATCCTGAGTGGGGACCCTGCGATGCGGGACTCGAATTCCGGGCTGGCGTCGGCTCCCCTCCTCCCTTACCCACCTCCTTTACTTCCTCCGCCCTCCTGCCCTCCCCTCCACTTCTCCTCCTCCTCTCCCCGCTCTCGCCAAGCTTGGCTGCCTCGCTGGGCCGCTAATTAAATGCAGGGCTGGGGGGGAGGGGAAGCCATGCGGTTAACCCCTTCCCCGCTGGTCCCTGGAAGCCTGCCCGGCTCTGGGGAGGGCATGAGTGTCCGATGCTGAACCCTCCGCCCAGGACTGAAGGTCCTGGAAAGCCCATTTGATGAATAGATAGACCAAGGCCAAGGGCCCGGTTCCAAGGCTGGATTAATGGGGGTTGGGGGACCGGGAGCATAGAACTATGGGGAAAGAAAGGGGAGATAGTAGCTGATGTAAAGAGCGAAAGGCAGAGATGGAGGGAAGAAAAGTTTGGTGGAGCCAGTGGGAGAAGGCCATCGACCTAGAGGAAAGGAGGAAGGAGACGGCTGGGAAAGGCTGGAGACAGGAAGAACATGTTTATCATGTTTTTCACTGGGATCCATCGTTCTTGGCTGGGACTGGAACGAACCAGTCTTCAGTGAAGATGGAGTGACTGTCTCCCAGGGCAGCGCAATTGGAGCTGGTGGTGACATGCACGGATGATCAGTATGTGACGATGGTGTGTGTATGGGGGGAGGGGGGCTCATAGGCCACCCCAACTTGTCCTGGAGGCTCCATGGCAGGCACCCTGGCCTGGCTTGCCCACTGCCCACTGACTTCCTGTTCCCACTGTGGGCTTGAACTGAGGGCCAACCTGCCCGGGGAGCTGTAGGTCATTCCAAGGTCCCACTCTGTCCTTGCAGTTCTGGGTCAGGCGGGGAGGACCCAGACACTGGCCTTTCATTGCCTGGTTCCCCCTTCACTCTGCCCACTGGCTACTGCCATTCACAAGCTGGGTAAACCAAGGCCCACATTCTTAGGGTGGGAACAGCTGGAAGAACAGATAACATGTAATGTCAAGTAGTGCTAAGAGTTAGGAAGAAATTGCAGGGAGGGCGAGTGCAGGGAGTGCAGAGGATCCACCTTCAAAGTGGGTGCTGTGAGGGTGCACCTGAAAGCCGGAGTAGCACGTGCAAGACCTGAGGTAGGAATGCACAGTATGTTGGAGGATCCAGGAGGAGGCCCAAGGTGGGGTAAGAAGAGGGGAGATGGGGGAAGGTAAGGATGGGAGGATCACAGGAGCACCCATCATACACAGATGGGGTGATGGGTAGTTGGAGTCCTCACCAACCCAGGTGGAGCCCATGACTACCCTCCCCACCTCATTTTCCCCACCAGTGCCCATGGTCCGGGAGGCTCAGGGGCCATCTTCCCTCGGAGTGCCACCCTGGCCTCCCCACACTCTGGCTTACTGCTTCAGCCAGTCTCCCTGTCACCCCCAGCTCTGCCCACTCCAGCTGTCCACTGCCAGCTCTTGCACAGGATGTTTCCTCACCTGCAGTACCCCACTGCTTTAGACAGTCCCTGCCCGCTTCCAGGCAGAGCCTGGAAAGTCTGCAGGGAGCTGGTTGCTTAGGAGGCAAAAGGGCTGAGAGGCATGGGGGAATGGGCATCTTGGTCCTTGAGTGCTGTCAGCAGCCTGGGTAAAAATAACTGTGCCCCTGCCCCCGGCAATGACGTGAAAGTGCCTGCAATGATGGGGGATGTGCCCGAAGGAGGATCTGGTAGAATCCACGTTGCCATGGCAATGCTGACTCAGGCAGAGGCAGGTAGCAGCATCTGGTACCCAACTGGCCTGTCCCCGTGTTCACAGCACCCTGCCAGGCCCCTACTTTGCAGGGTCCACTCTGGAAGTGGCTTCTGAGACTGGGAGAAGGATGGTTAAGACCCTGGGGTAGCTGGATCAGTTCCTGCATCAACCCATCCAGCACCTGCTGAAAGGTGTGAGATCTGAGACAGCCTCTCCCTCCTGTTCCCAGTCTCTCACCCTCTCTTCCTGCATCTCTCTCTGCCTCTCCATCTCAGAGTACAGTCCAAACCCTTCCCCACACATCCCAGAACCTGTAGCGGCTGTCCATTCCACCTTCCTCTCTCCCAGTCATTTGTTCTCCAGCCACACTAGCCTATGCTTTTCCTCCAGCACATCAGCCCACTCCCACCTCAGGGCCTTTGCACATATTGGTCTGCCTGGAAGACCCTGAGGGTCTTCACCTGGCATTTATCTTGCTTGATTCTTGGCTTCCTTATTATCTGTTTCTATCCCCACCTCCAGAGTATGGTCTGTGGTTCCTCTGGAGGCCTGTCTGCCAATTTCTGCCTTCACTTCCCTCACTGGGAAATGGGCAACTGGGCATGGTGGTCACAGTGTGACCTCATCGAGAAGGTGCAGATTAAGCGCTTACAACTGTGCCTAGCAGAGAGTAAACGTTCAATAAGCACTTGGAAACAGTTCCATGAGCTAGCTGCTAAAGGATAAACACAATGTGGTCCATCCACACAGTGGAATGTTATTCAGCCACAACAAGGAGTGACACACTACAATGTGGATGAACCTCGAAAATGATGCTGAGAGAAACCAGACACAAAAGGCCACATGTTGTATGATTTCATTTATTTGAAATGTCCAGAACAACCAAATCCATAGATACAGGAAGCAGATTCGTGGTTTAGGGGCTGGTGGAGGTGGGAACAGATATGGTTTCTTTTGGGGATGAAAATGTTCTGGAACTAGAGAGAGCTGGTTGCACAATATTGTGAAGGGCACCAAATGCCACCAAATTGTTCATTTAAAAATGGTTAATTTTATGTTAGTGAATGTTACCCACTTAGAAATAATAAAAAAGACATTGGGTAAAAGGAAATCTGGCCCTGGCCAATGTGGCTCGGTTGGTTGGGTGTCGTCCTGTGCACCAAAAGTTGCCAGTTTGATTCCTGGTCAGAGCACACCCCGGGGTTGCCGGCTTGATCCCTGGTGAGGGCGTGCAGGAGGTAGCCGCTTATTTCTCTCTCTCCCTCTCCCATCTTCTCTGTTAGGACACAGTGTGACAGGAGGCTGAATGGCTGGGATGATGTCAAGGACGTCTGGGTGCCTTGAAGAGGACAGTCTGCCCCCCAGGGGAGAGGGAGAAAGAAGGACCTACAATCTATGAGGGGTCTCACAGTAAGTAGGGGAGGCTATGGGGTTCAGTCCAGCTGAGGGCTTTTTGGGGAGCCTACTTTCTGCAGACTTATGGACACAAACAGCAAGAATAATTTTCTCGCCCTGGCTGGTTTGGCTCAGTGGATAGAGCGTTGGCCTGCGGACTGAAGGGGCCCAGGTTCGGTTCATTTCTAGTCAGGGGTACATGCTTGGGTTGTGGGCTGATCCCCAGTAGGGGGCATGCAGAAGGCAGCCAATCAATGATTCTCTCTCATGATTGATATTTCTATCTCCCTCTCCCTTCCTCTCTGAAATCAATAAAAATATATTTTTTTTAAAAACAATTTTCTCATTTTTAAGGAAAACAGTTAAGATATCCCTGGACAGTGTTGCTGCATCCAGACATCCCCCTCCAAGAATAGACTTCTAGGGGTTTCAGGAAAGGTTGCTTTTCCAGAATGTTCCGGGGAAACTGCATCCTGGTCTCCATGGTGACAATGGAGGCCAGCCACTGCGCCACAGTCCACATGCATTTAGAGACAAACCTCCAACCCTGGTCACCAGGGACACTCAATGTGCTAGAGGGTCACAACATGGAGGGACAGGACCTGGGGTGCTCACAGGAATGGTTTTCAAAGGAACAGAAGGGAATGAGGGAGGGGAAGGCTCATGAGGACCTGCAGAGTATTTTTAGGCACTGAATGTAGCCCTGAAATATTTCCACGGCCACTCCCGAGAGTGAGCTGGGTGACTATTTCAGTGCCTGGTTCCAGTGGAGGCGGGGCAAGGATGAGTCACCCCTGGGTGACTGGGCCTAGACCGGAAGGGGCCTGTGAGGTGACTGCTCACCAGGCCAGGCATCTGGTGCCAGCCTCTGGGGCATAGAGGACAGTGGCCTGGCCATTGCCCATTGGATGGCATCACTGCTTGCACCCCCCCCCCCCAACAATGGGCCAATCATCCTGACCTG